TGGCCCAGGAAGGCAGTGGAGGATGGCCCAAGTCCTTGGGCTCCTGCACCTGCATGGGAGACCAGGAGGAAGCACCTGGCTCTTGGCTTCGGATCGGTGTAGCTCTGGCTGTAGCGGCCATTTGGGGAGTGAACCAACGGAAGGAAGACCTTTCTCTCTGTCTCTCTCTCACTGTCTGTAACTCTACCTGTCAAATAAAAAAAATATATACTGGGGAACTTTCTGGGGAGACGGAAATATTCTAGGTTTCGATCTGGGTGCTGGTTACCCAGGTATTTGGTACACTTAAGATTGATGTACTTCACTGAGTGTAAATGATGCTTCGAGAAACAAAACCCTTCCATGCAGAAAATACCTCGGGTGATTCCCGTTTCCTGCACTGAGCACCTGCTACTGGCAAGGGGGCCCCAGCACAAGAGACAGCAAGAGGCACTGAGAGCAAGTAGACTTCCAGCGGTGCGGCAGAAAGCTGGGACCACAAGGGTCGAGGCTAGGGAGAGACCCCTGCTCTGCGGAGGCCTCTGGATTCAGGAAGTCGATCTCACTTCAAGGGCAGGTCCTGCCCAAGCGATAGTTTCCCAGCTGCCCCTGCAAACCTCCAGAGACCATCCATTCCCAAGTGGCCTGTGGTTCTCAAGAAGCCAGGACAGGGTGTCAGATCCAGAGTGTCAGGCCACCACCCACACAGACGCCCACACTAGCCACAGCACAGCTGTTTAAAACATTATCACAGGCAAAGCTGGGAAGCCAGGGGTTGATTTCTGTTCTTCAGTCTCACAGAGTCCCCAGAAGGACTCACATGGGGCAGCTGCATCCTTTTGGGGCCCACCAGCACTCTCTGTAGCCCTGCCCTCTGCCCTCTGGGGGAAACGTGAGCTAGCGGTTGGTGCGTTACCATGTGGGGGTCACAGCCCTCTTTGCGGCACTGGGCTAGAGACATTAGGAATGGGCTTTTAAATTTGATTTAATTTTGGGGGCTGGTGTTCTGGTGTTGTGGGTAAAGCTGCTGCCTGCGATGCCAGCATCCCAAATGGGTATGGGTTCATGTCCTGGATGCTCCACTTCTGATCCAGCTCCCTGTTAATGGCCTGGGAAAGCAACGGAAGATGACCCAAGTGTTTGGACCCCTGCACCCACATGGGAGACCTGGAACAAGCTCTTGGCTGCTAGTTTCGGCTTGGCTCAGCCCTGAACATTGCAGTCATTTGGGGAGTGAACCAGTAGATGAAATATTCTCTCTGTGTGTGTGTGTGTGTGTGTGTGTGTGTGTGTGTATTTCCCTCTCTTTCTAACTTTGACTTTCAAATAAATAAGTAAATCTTTAACAATTTTCATTTAATTTTAATTGAAATAGCCGCACATGGCAAATGGGTACTGTACTGGACAGAACAACTGTTAGCTGTTACTTATCTGGGGCTGGTTAATTTTTTTAAAGATTTATTTATTTATTTGAAAGAGTTACACAGAGAGAGGAGAGGGAGAGGGAGAGTAAGAGAGGTCTTCCATCCACTGGTTCACTCCCCAGTTGCCTGCAATGGCCAGAGCTGTGCCGGTGCGAAGCCAGGAACCAGGAGCTTCTTCCGAGTCTCCCATACGGGGCCTGGGGCCCAAGGACTTGGGCCATCGCCTACTGCTCTCCAGGGCCATAGCAGAGAGTTGGATCAGAAGTGGAGCAGCTGGGTCTTGAACCGGCACCCATATGGGATGCTGGCGCTTCAGACCAGGGTGTTAACCTGCTGCACCACAGGTTAATGGTTAATGTTTCCTTGTGGTTATGAACTTTTGGTAAGATTACCATAGGTATGATATGGTACCCTTTTACATTTTTAAAGACTTTTAAAAAATTATTTACTTGAAAGGCAGAGAAAGAGAAGGGTGGGAGAGTGCTTTGTGCTTTTACTCACTGGTTCACCCCCCAAATGCCCACAACAGCCTGGGCTAGGCCAGGCTGGAGCCGGAAGCTTGTAACTCAGTCCTGGTCTCCCACATGGGTGGCAAGGACTACTGTAGCCATTGTCTGTAGCCTCCTAGGCTCTGCATTAGCAGGCAGCTGGAGCGGGAAGCAGAGCCAGGCCTGGAACCCGGGCACTCAGTGTTGGTTGTGGGCATCCCAAACAATGGCTCAACCGCTGGGCCAAACAGCTGCTCCTTTGTCTAAATTTCCAACATCTGCTCCAGTGGGCAGTGAACCACCCAGACTAGGAAGCTGGGTTGTTTGTGTGCTTCCTGGTCCAGCAGACAGGGTGACAAGTGCCTCCGTTCATTGTTCTTCCTGAAACTGTCAGGTACCAGCTCACTGAAGTGGGGGGAGCAGCAGGCAGGATTAACTCTTGAGCTAATCAGTGTTCACTCCTGGCTAAGCAAGGTGGAGCTGATGTTATTGCAGCTTGGGTGTGAGATTATGAACACTTTGTAAAGGCTGAAGGTTGTGAAATATCCACAGGTTTCCCAAGAACAGTAATAAAATGTCACCTGAAAATTGTTCTGGTATCTTCCGACAGTTGGGTCTGGGAGCATTGGCTTTGGAGGCAAGTCTTGGGCTGATCTTGGCATGTGATCTCGGCCAAATCCCTTCACTCCTTTTTTGTCTTTCTTTCTCTAAATTAGTGGAGAGTAAAGTGTAACAACCTTCGGTGGACAGCCGATGCGTTTTCCCATGGGCTCAGGCCGGTGTCTTTGCCACTCACATCCAGTCTCAGAACAGGGGCCGGCACTGTGGCATAGCAGATAAAGCTGCTGCCTGCAGTGCCGGCATACCATATAGGCGCTAGTTCGAGTCCTGGTTGCTCCACTTCCCATCCAGCTCTCTCCTATGGCCTGGGAAAGCAGTAGAAGATGGCCCAAGTCCTTGGGCCCATGCACCTGCGTGGGAGACCCAGAAGAACCTCCTGGCTCCTGGCTTCGGATCAGCTCAGTTCTGCCTGTTGTGGTCATTTGGGGAGTGAACCAGCAGATGGAAGACAGACCTCTTTCTCTCTCTGGCTCTACCTCTCTCTATAACTCTGTCTTTCAAAATAAATAAAATAAATCTTAAAAAAAAAAAAGACACAGAAAAATTCCATCCCCTTAGGTGTGCCTCCCCAGGCCACACCCCCCAGAGCTGACTGGTGATGGGATTTCTATGTGGGTTATTTTTGCCTGTATTTGAATCTGATGTAACTGGAAGCAGATAGCAGACACTGCCATGCATTTGGTTCCATTAGCTGAGCTCCATTGAGCCACGGTGCCTGTTCGTCACTAGGGAAATTCATCCAGGGGGAGGCTTCTAATAGCTGGTTCTTGGGGCCAGCGTTGTGGTGCCCGCAGGTTAAGTCGCCACCTGTGATGCTGTTCACCCTCATCTGAGCACTGTTGGAGTCCCAACTGGTCTGCTTCCCATCTAGTTCCCTGCTAATGAGCCTGGGAAAGCAGCAGAGGATGGCCCAAGTACCTGGGCCCCTGAATCCACATAGGACCTCCAGATAGAGTTCCAGGCTCCTGGCTTTTGCCTGGCCCCGCCTGGACCTTCATGGCCATTTAGGGGAGTGAACCAGCAGATAAAAAAAAAAATATCTGATGGGCTGGCTCTGTGGCTCACTTGGCTAATCCTCTGCCTGCGGCACCAGCACCCCAGGTTCTAGTCCTGGTTTGAGCGCCGGATTCTGTCCCGGCTGCTCCTCTTCCAGTCCAGCTCTCTGCTGTGGCCCGGGAAGGCAGTGGAGGATGGCCCAAGTGCTTCGGCCCTGCACCTGCATGGGAGACCAGGAGGAAGCACCTGGCTCCTGGCTTCGGATCGGCGCAGCGTGCCAGCCGTAGCGGCCATTTGGGGGGTGAACCAACGGAAGGAAGACCTTTCTCTCTGTCTCTCTCTTTCTCTCTCTCTGTCTAAATCTGCCTATTAAAAAAAAAAAAATCTCTCACGGGGCCAGCGCCGTGGCTCACTTGGTTAATCCTCTGCCTGAGGCACCGGCATCCCATATGGGCGCCGGTACTAGTCCTGTTTGCTCCTCTTCCACTCCAGCTCTCTGCTGTGGTCCGGGAAGGCAGTAGAGGATGGCCCAAGTGCCTGGGCCCTGCACCCGCATAGGACACCAGAAGGAACCACCAGGCTCGGATCGGGGTAGCTCTGGCTGTTGCGGCCATATGGGGAGTGAACCAGCGGAAGGAAGACCTTCTTCTCTGTCTCTTTCACTGTTCATATTTCTACTTGTCAAATAAATTAAAAAAAAAAACTGAAAAAAAATCTCTGTAGCTCTGCCTTTCAGATAAATAAATAAATCTTCTAAAAATCTCTTGGTTCTTCTCTCTGCTGTATACTGTTCCACAGTGTGTGTAGTCCAGTTTGTCTCTCCAAGCACCTCCGGATGGCCGTTTGAGTTGATTCGCGAGTTTGCCTATTAGGAATAAAGTCAACAGGAGCACTTCCTAGTGTGCGTTTCCAGGTAGATGTATACTCCGGAGTGGAGGTGCTGGATCAGAGTTCGCCTAGGTTTAACTTTCCTAAGAACTGTTGATCGTTTCCCCAAATCTTCTAACCTCCCTTTAAAACAAGGAGAATAAGGCTATTGTGCCTGATTATCGTGAGGGTAAGTATGAGGCTATACGCCAGGGACCTGGGATGCAGTGGGCACTGGGTAGTCTCGGGCACCGCGGCGGGGCACTCACGACCCACGCACCTGCCGGGCCTCTGGCTACCCAGTCGGCGCTACCCTGCTACGCTGGGTCACCTCACCAGACACTGGCGCCACTGGGCCTTTGCACAGCACCCGCCGCTTACTGAGCACCAACTGTGCGCCAAGCCGGGTGCTGGAGACACAGGAGGACCCTCCCCAGAGGGACACTTCCTCGCTCGGAAAGTGCGGGGGAGGCAGTCCCAGCCCGCCGGGGGAGTCCCCGGTAAGTTGTTCCAGACGAATAAGAGAAGAAAGGCACCCACTCCCCCGCGCCGGGCGCAGTGATCCAGCGCAGCCCGCGAGGCCGGTCTCCCGCGCGCCCGGGCCCGCAATGGCAGGCTGAGCGACCGCCCCGCCGCGCAGCCGCCCACGCTGGCCGCGCAGCCCCGCCCCGGGGCCGGCCAAGGCGCGCTCTCGGGCCAGGCCCGCCCCAGCCCACTTCTCATGGTTCACTGCTGGCGGCGGCAGTCAGCTGCTCGCCGTGTAGCCGCTGCCCGAGGTAAGATCGCCGACCGCGGCATCCCCGGCGCTGTCGGGCCAGCGCAGACCGACGCCTTTCGGGCAGGTGGGCTGCGGTGGCAGAAGCCGAGCGCGACTCGGAGTCCAACGGGCGCCGCGCCGCGCCCTGGGCCTGAGGCCCGCGGGGGCCTGCAAGGGGACAGGGAGCGCGCGCGACACTGGGTTTGGGACACGTTGGGCTCCACGCACCTCACGCAGTTCGCGGGCAGAGGAGCAGAGGACGCGGGGCGGCTGCTCAGGCTTTGAGGGAGGTTGGACCGGAAGGAGCCGGGGCCGGGGCCGCCGAGCCCCGCCCGCCCTCCGCAGGCCCAGGGTGACCCTCGGGCGAGGCCCAGCCCGGCTGCGCCGACCGGTGGCGGCCGCCTTTCCCTGGGTCTGCACGGTTCCCGGCGGTGACACCCGCTCGGAGCAGCCCTGGGCCGCGCCTGGGAACGCGATCCCAGGCCGCGGGCCAGCCCCTACCCGGGGAGGTGGCTCGCTCTTTTTGGCTCAGTGCCTCTGCGCCGCTCAGGTCAGAAGTTTGGCCGCGCGTTCAAGGACACGCCACCGCCTCCTCCTGGTCTTTGATACAGGAAGAAGGTACCAGGTAAAGGAGGAAAACGAAACACAGTAAAACAAAGCAAAAGCATCCGGGGGAGAAAGCTGCGGGGCCTCAGAAACAGCCGGGCCAGCCAGGTCGTCCAGGCCCTGTCTGAAGGGTTTCCATCTCTGAGCACGCCGGTGGCGAGCTGTTGCCTCCCCCAGGCTGTCCTCTCGGGGCAGGGAGCTTGGCCCTTTCCTGGGCTTGAAGGCAGGGGTCTCCCTGCCCTGCAGGTGCAGTGAGACAGCAAGTCCTGGGATCAAATTCTGCCAAGGCTCCTAGTCAGCTGCACGCTTAGTATCACTAAACCCGGTCCTGGGGTTGTGCAATGCTTCCGTGGAAGAGTCCTAGGACGTGCAGGTGCGTAGTGGGCCAGCAACACAGCGGAATGATGGGAGCCTCCTTTCCTTCCGGTTGGGCCACATCACCCCTCCCCGCCCCCTCCCACACACCTGTGCAGAGTGCCTCACCTGACTGCCTCCCGGTGCCTTCCCCGGGCACACGGGGAAGCAAGGAGAAGGACGGCCGCTAACCTTCACGAAGCTGTGCTTTGCTCACCTCCTGAAGGCTCAGAGGACTGGCTCTGCTCCCTGGTGCTCCTGAGCCAGCACCGGCACCTGCCCCACCAGGAACGTAGCGGGAGGCCGCTGCTCCGGCTCCGGCGGCCTCAGCAGCTGTCAGGTGGCTCTTGGCCCAGCAGCAACAGGTCTCACGCATGGCTGACATCCACTTACTCGTCTCCTCTCCCCATCTCCTTCCCACCCATTTATTTTTATTTTCACTTATTGGAAAGGCAGAGAGACAGAGACAGAGAAAGGTCTTCTGTCTGCTGGTCCACTCCCCAAGTACCCACAACAGCAGGGCCAGCCTAAAGCCAGGAACTCTAACTGGGTCTCCCATGTGGGTGGCAGGGACCCTAGCGTGGTGTCGCCTGCTGCCTCGCTGGGTGCGCCTCAGCGGGAAGCTGGATGTGGGAGCAGAGCTGGGGCTCAGACCAGGCGCTGCACATGGGCTGTGTGCGTCCCAAGCTGCATGCTGACCACTGTGCCAAAGCAGCCCACCGCACCCCACGCTGCCCTTGTTCCCAGCTGAGCTCCGCGGGGCCCTCTCCCTACTGCCTTTCCCTCAGCCCCTCTGGCCCTCTCACTGGCGCCTTTCATTCCTCACCAGCCAAGGAGCCACCCTTGCTTCTCCTCCACCTCCTATATCCACGGAACACCAGGAATGCAGCCACCTCTTGCCACCTCTGTGGTTGCCACCATGGCCATAACCCATCGTGTCTCCCCGGCCGAAGCCTCCCGGTTCATCTGCCTGCCTTCATCTGGCCCCTCCACAGCCCTCACAACTGCCAAAGAGGTCTTTTCTTTTTTAACATTTATCTGAAAGGCATAGTGACAGAGAGAGATCTTCCATCTGCTGGCCCACTCCTCCGATGGCCCCACAATAGCCAGCTCTGGGTGAGGCTGGAGCCAGGAGCCAGGAACTCTATCCTGCTCTCCCATGTGGGTGGTAGGAACTCAAGTGCTTAAGCCGTCATCTGGTGTCTTCCTAAGTGCATTAGCAGGAAGCTGGATCAGAGGTAGAACAGCTGGACTCAAACCCACGCTCTGCTCTGTAATTGAAAGCTGTGGCTTAACCCACTGCGCCACAACACCCACCCCTGGAGAAGTCTTTAACATAAATCCAATCTCTTCTTTCCCACTAGGACCTTCCAACAGTTCCCCGTTTCACTCCAAGTAAAACCCAGTCTTTCCTACAATGCCCTATGTGAGTGACCCCTTCCAACCTCCTTGACCTTGATCTTTGCCCCTTCATAACTATTTGTTTTTAAAGATTTATTTATTTATTTGAAAGGCAGAGTTACAGAGAGAGAGAGAGAGAGAGAGAGAGAGAGAGAGATCTTCCATCCACTGCTTCACTCACCCAAATGGTCGTAGCTGCCAGGGCTGGGCCAGACTGAAGCCAGGAACCTGAAGTCTAGCCAAGTCTCCCACATTGAGTGCAGGGGCCCAAGCACTAGGCCCATCTTCTGCTGCTTTCCCAGGTCCATTAGCAAGGAGCTGGATCAGAAGTGGAGCAGCCGGGACTCAACCATGCTCCTCTGGGATGCAGGCTTTGGCTTAACCCGTGGGCCACAGCAACGGCCCCAGGCTGTTTGTCTTACTCCCTGCAGCACTTCCTGGTGGGAGAGGCAAATAGGAAACCAGCAAACACTGAGTGTGACTTGTGCTAAGAGCCGCTGAAGCAATGGCTTGTATTAGAAGCACTTTAAAAACTGTGAGCATGTGGGGCCAAGTGATGACTGTCAAAGTAAGCTCGCGGAGCCATTTGAAGGTGAGGAAGAATCTTGGAAGAGGTGCATGCTGGGTCCCGGGTCCCCCCACGAGCTCAGGGCGGTGGGGTGCAGTCTCCCTGGAAGCATGGGCACGCGGCACGCTACAGCCACGGCCCACAGTTGTGTTCCGGAAAGAACCTGGTGCTGAGGGTCCCGACTCTGCTCTTCCACGTCCAGCAGCCCCTGGGCTTCTTGGTACCTTGTTTTCCCCATCTTTAAAGTTAGATGATCCTATTGCTATCAGATTGGCCTCCACCACCATCACCCCCAACCTACCCCAAAGAAGCAGTACTTCAAGATGGGGAGTTATTGCTATTGTTCTAAGGGCCTTAGAGCTGGGAGCCACTCACAGGCTTGGCAGCCAGGGTCATGGACAGGGGCCCCGTCCCCCATGTGCTGGGGGCACAGGCAGACCCCCTCCATGTGCTAGGGGCACAGGCAGACCCCCTCCATGTGCTAGGGGCACAGGCTCCAGCACCGACCAAGCTACAGGACAGACATGGGCCCTGCATCACCTGCATCTCCTTTTGGTCTTCAGTTCATTGTTGAGCAAATTCTTTGAGAGCCCCTAGGATCCAGGCAATTAGGACATTTAAAGAAATTGAGGGGCCAGTGCTGTGGCGTAGCAGGTTAGGCCGCTGCCTGCAGTGCCAGCACCTCATATGGGCGCTGGTTCTAGTCCCGGCTGCTCCACTTCCAGTCTAGCTCTCTGCTATGACCTGGAAAAGCAGCAGAAGATGGCCCAAGTCCTTGGGGCCTTGCACCCACGTAGGAGACCCGGAAGAAGCTCCTGGCTCCTGGTTTCAGACTGGCCCAACTCTGGCCATTGAAGGCATTTGGGAAGTGAACCAGCGGATGGAAGACCTCTCTCTCTGTCTCTCCTCTCTCTGTGTAACTCTGACTTTCAAATAAATAAAAAAAAAGAAAGAAAGAAATTGAAGATGAAAGATAAAAGCAGAATTCCAGCAGGCTGAGCAGGAAAGAAATGCCTTTGCCCCGCCCCTCCCAGCCCCGTGGCCTTGCCTTCTGCTCTCTTCCAGTCTTCCCCGTCTCTCAGTCCATCGCGCTCGGCCATAGCGCTCGCCGAGTCCAGGGCCCCATCTGCAGAACTTGAGCGGCGATGACGTTTGCTGAGGACAAGACCTACAAGTACATCTGCCACCACCACAGCAGCTTCTGCCGTGTGGATGTTCTGGAGATCCTGCCTTACCTGCCCTGCCTTACGGCAAATGACCAGGTGAGCCCAGCCCCCGCCGGTTCACCCCAGCCAGGGCCAGCTCCTTCCTTGCCCCTCGTGGACCAGGGGTCTTCAAAAAATTCCTAGGAAACGCATATTCGGAAACCGCCCACATGTGGATTCCAAACCTTCCTGCACCTACATACACTTGTCTTTCTGATGTTTCTGCAAACTTTTCCCAGGCCCTGTATGCCGCCTCTTGTCCCTGCTACTTGGCGCACTGTGTGGTGGGGTTGGCTTTGCCAGCCTCCCCGGCTCCCTCTTGTGTTTGATTTCGTGTAGTGCTCAGATGTGCGGCTGGCTCCGGTCCCACTGTTCTTCGGAGCCCTCTCTTCCCTTCCTCTAGTCCTTGTCCTGCCCAGATTTGATTCCATTCTCCTCGTCCCAGGACCCTGCCCCACGGGCCCCCATGGTTCCGACCGCACCCAGCACAGAGAAAAACGCCCTTCCCCATTTCAGCTGCTGTCTCCAATGGGAGCCCTGCGCTCTCTTTCGGGGTCTCCTGTCTTCAGGCGTCTCAGGGCTGATGGGGTTTGACCCCTTCCTCTTGTATGTTGCATCTTGAAGATCCCTTATCGCTTAGCAACCGTTTTCTGTGTTTTGCTTCTGTTTTGTGGCTTGTTTTCATTTTGCTCTGGGGGGGGTTTCTGGTCCCAGGGCTTTTGCAGGCAATACATTTTGCTTCTCATCAGCAAAGGAGAGCTAATTACAGGACACTCAGAGTCCACTTCCCGGCAGCTGCAGTTGGTCGTTGGCTATTGGCTGCTGCTCATGGCTCTTCCTCATTCTGTTCTAGGGCCCTGATCCTGGCTTTGTCCTGGGCCAGGGTCCAGTGTCCAATGGCTGCTCCCCACTGGGGTCTCTCGGTGCCCCTCTCTGCAGTTGTCACATGCTGGGTGAAGAGGCAGCCAGCGACAACTGGCTTGAGCACGACTCCGGGGCTGTGTCTTCCAGGATCGGCTGCGGGCCTCCTACACGCGCCTGGGCAACCGAGACACCCTCTGGGACCTGTTCAACAGCCTGCAGCGGCGGACCGGCTGGGTGGATTCCTTCATCCGGGGCCTGAGGGCCTGCGAGCTGCCGGAGCTCGCTGACCAAGTGGCTGGCGAATATCAGCGCCACCTGCCTCGTGAGCGTCCTGCCCTGGCCCCGAGACCCTGCCTGCTTCCTCTGCCTTCTCTACCCTCGCCTCTCCCTCCTTGGTACCTCCTGCCTTTGTCCTCACCCTCCCACCCGTCTCCTGCCATCTGTGGGTGAACCCGAGTGTGGAGCCTGGCTGAGCCTTGGGCTTTCCCTCTGTAAGATGGGGCTGATGGCAGTTTCTGCACTGGGCAGATTCTGCGGGACGGTGCGTGTCGAAGGGGCCGACTCCTCTGATTTGTCGGGCTGTGTTCTTTGCCTGCTGCCTGCTTCTGGCCTCCGGGTTCCTTCCTCTCCACACCCACGTGTCCGCCCTCCCTCTCTCCACTTTACTTCCCCTCCTCCTGCTCCCCCTGGAAGCCTTCTAGCCCTCACCCCAGGCTGCTCCGTTACCTCTCAGCTCCCTTCCGCTGCCCCTTCCTGGCCCTGGTGCTGGGGGCATTTGGCATGGTCAGGAGAGGAGAGGGCCTGGGGGAGGGAGGGAACCAGCCTTGTTCATACCAAGGGACTTCAGGAAGCTCGTGGAAAGAACAGTTTGAAAGACACGTTTATCTTGGTGCCCCCCCCAAAAAAATTAAATCCATGCAGTTTTTATAGCATGCATTTCTTTCTTCCTTCCTCCCTCCCTCCCTCCTTCCCTCCCTCTCTTTTCTTTTTTATTTTTTCTTTCCTTCCTTCTTTCTCTCTTTTGTTTTCTTTCTTTCTCTCTCTTTTTTCTTTTGAAAGGCAGAGTTACAGAGGGAAAGGGAGAGACAGAGAGAGAGAGAGATCTTCCATCTGCTGGTTCATTTCCCAAATGCCATCAATGGCCAGAGCAGGGCCAGACTGAAACCAGGAGCCAGGAGCTTCTTCCAGGTCTCCCATATGGGTTCAGGGGCCCAAGCACTGGGGCCATTCTCTGCTACCTTCCCAGGCGCATTAGCAGGGACCTGAATCAGAAGTGGAGCAGCAGCCAGGACTCGAACCAGTGGCCAGATGGGATGCAGTGACTTTACCCACTATGCCACAGTGCTGGCTCCCATAACATGCGTTTCTGTGAGGTTTTTTAATTTATTTATTTATTTATTTATTTTGCCAGGCGGAGTGGACAGTGAGAGAGAGAGACAGAGAGAAAGGTCTTCCTTTGCCGTTGGTTCACCCTCCAATGGCCGACGCGGCTGGCGCGCTGCGGCTGGCGCACCGCGCTGATCCGATGGCAGGAGCCAGGTACTTATCCTGGTCTCCCATGGGGTGCAGGGCCCAAGCACTTGGGCCATCCTCCACTGCACTCCCTGGCCACAGCAGAGAGCTGGCCTGGAAGAGGGGCAACTGGGACAGAATCCGGCGCCTCGACCGGAACTAGAACTCGGTGTGCCGGCGCCGCAAGGCGGAGGATTAGCCTAGTGAGCCGCGGCGCCGGCGGTTTTTTAATTTATTTTGAGAGGCACACACATACACAGCTCCCATTTGCTGGTTCACCCACCAAATGCCCACAACAGCTAGGGCTGATCTAGGACAAAGCTAGAAGTTAGACTTGCAGCCCAAGTCGTGCATGCTATGGTGGGAGTCCGATTACTCGAGCCATCACCTGCTGCCTCCCAGGGTGTGTGCCAGCAGGGAGCTGGAGTCAGGAGTGGAGCTGGCACTGCAGGCACTCAGGCGCAGGTGTTAACTGCGAGGCAAACACGGGCCCTCCGTGTCCGTCTTAAGACTCCTTGTACTTCAGGCCTGGGCAGCCTCGGAGACCCCAGTCAGGTTTCCAGCTCCGGGATGCCCCACACTGGCTTTTCTTTCTCCGTCCCTGCCTCCTTCCTTGTGAGTTTCTTCATTGGTGGAGATTTGCAGTGATTCCCTGAGCATGGACAGCTGCTGCAGGGCCAGGGATGGGCGGGGCAGGGGTCTGTGAGTGGTAGCAGCCCCCCCAACTTCGCCTCCCCCCTTGCTACCTATCTTTGGCCTCTCCAGCTCCCCTCTGCCTGCTACTCCTGCCTCCCCCCAGTGGCCTCCCAGAACTGCACCCTACATTGGGACAGCCTTGAACTATGGAGGGGGTTGGGGGCCCAAGAGCTGCCAGGTGTCTCCATTACAGGGAGCCCCCCATTCCTTCCTGATATCACTGTATTTTTGTCCTCCAGGGGCTGCATCCCACCCGGGAGCCCCTCGCGGGGCACCACAGGAGGCGCCATCACTTCCTGCCGAGGTTCCTGGGGCCTCTGCACCTGCTGCAAACCCCAGCATCCCCCACGCTGGCCACAGAGAGGAGCCAAGTTACCCCTTGCCTGTCCAGGACACCCAGCCTCCCAAGTCCCTGGGAGAGGTGCGTCCTCACCGCCCGCCTACCTGCTTTTGTGTTCCTGTCTGCCCGCTTCTACCCTCTCAGGCCCTTACAAGAAGGCGCCTGGCCAGGCCTTCAGCGTGTTGCGGCCCGCAGCCCTCTGCCTCCAGCTGGCTTGGAGGCCACCGCTTAGAGGGCTCCGCGGTGGCCAGTGTGAGATGCGGAGCTGGGGGAGGAAGCTGGGGCTTGACCAGCTGATGGGGAGGGTGGGACGAGGGAGCGGACAGCGAGCTGCAGTGATTGCCAGGAAGATCAAGTCCAGGGGAGAGAAGACCGTGTCTACTGAGAGGTCAGGAGTGGGCAGCGGGCACCCAGGAGACCTGGAGGCTAAGAAGGGGTCTGTGCGTGGCTGCAGAGAGGGGGACCCATCCCCGGGGCCACAGGTGGACAGGGACTGCCCTTGGGTTGATGCGTGTCTTCTGTGAGGTCAAGGCAAGGTTGCCCATGGACACGGGGTCCGGCTGCGTCTCCTTGGCTCCCGGGCTCTGTGCGGTGGCTGAGCCCTTCGGTAGCGGGGGTCCCCGGAGCGTGAGGCGCTCTCTGCCAGCTCTCAGGGGACGCAGCTGCTGATTTTCCCTCTTTCAGGGTTCAGAGCAAACGCCACACACACCCAGCTCTGGGGTCCTCCTGAGGACACCCAGCGTTCCCCTGGAGCCCTCCTCCTCTGACCCAGCAGCCCTCGGCCCTCCGAGCCCCAGCAGGCCTCAGGAGCAGGACACAGACTTGGCCAGCATCCACACAGCAGGTATGCATGGAATGTGGCATTACAAGGTCTCACTGGCCTCCCCGAGAGGGTGAGAGGGTCAGCGTCAGGGTCAGAATGACTCCTCCGTCCTCCTGGACCAGAGACAAAGTGGGAATAAAGGGAGCAGAGGCTCCTTAGCCAGTGGATGGGGACGTGGTCACTGGCTAGGATGTGGTGGCTGGCTGGGGGCATGGTCACTGGCTGGGCAGATGTTGCAGTACATTGCTGCCCAGGTGGGGAAGAGAATTAGGTCCATTTCTGCCCCCTGTCAAAGGGTGGGATGGCCAGGGCTGGGCCGACTGTTGGCAGCAGAGCTCACTTGGACACTGCCCTACCCCGTAAGCATTGTCATTTCCCAGCAAATCATCAGCTGGGGCCTGGCCCCACGCCAGACCTCAGTGCTGCCCCTCAGGAACGTGGAGCCGTCCGCCGCGACCTCCCAGGCCCACACCTCTCCACTGCCTCCCAGAGTGTGTTCCACGGGATGCTGGTGCCTGGCCAGCTCTCAGGGCCCCTGGGAGGCACCGAGCAGCTAAAGGCTGGGAGATGCCAGCTTAGTGCCCCCTCCTGCAGCTACCCCCAACCTGTTCACAGCACCTGCCTTGCACTTTGCCATGTCAGCTTTCCCGGGATGCCTTTCAGGAGGTGCCGTGGGGTCTGGGGTGGAGGTGGAAATGCACTTGGGTTTTAGGACATTTGTGGTCATGTGTCCCCAGAGAGTCTGTGCCACTGTTGTTGGGAGGAAGGCCCAGTGGAGTCACCCCAGGGAGACGTTTGTCCTGACAGGACATCTGTGTCCCACATCCGGGTACCTGGGTTAGAGTCCTGGTTCCAGATTCCGACGCCAGCTTCCTGTGCGTGCGGATCCTGGGAGGCAGCTCTGATGGCTCAAGTAACTGGGTTCCTGCACCCACATGGGAAACCTAAGTGGAGTTCTTAGGTCTGGCTTTGGCCTGGCCTAGCCAGCCCCAGCCATAGTGGGCTCTTGGGGAGTGAACCAGAGGATGCGAGGTCTCTGTCTACCTTTCAAGTAAATAAAAATTAAAAAACAGAAGAATCACCCGATTGTCAGCCCTGGGGCCTGGCATGTGTGTTCCCGGCATCCCACGGAGGATCCTGATAAAACTGCGCTTCCTCTTGGGGTACTTTGTCCCTGCCCCCACATCCTCTGGCCCCTGGGGGCTGGTAGCTTCTGGTGCCACTTCAGCCTGAGCCGTCCTGCTCTCCCTGGCCTGATGCAGGATCGTCCCACTGGGATGTGCCCTGGGGGCGGAGGGACATCAGTGCTAGGGGCGTCCCAGGTCCCACCTGGCTAGGGAGAAGGTGGGAAAGGCAGGTGCGGGTGAGAGGGGGTGTCCTGGGCGGGAGAAGAATTCACGATAACCTTGCGGCTCCTGGGTCTTGCCAGGAGGAAGGACAGTTAATGCCTGTGACAGGGCAGACCTGGGGCTACAGGTCAAGGGCAGGGCAGCTGTTGGGACTCAGGCCAGTGGCTGCAACCATAAGGCCTGCAGCTGCAGAAGGCATGCTGAGCTCGGGCAGGGGGCCCTTTTGCAGCCCTTGGGATAACAGTTCCTTGGGTTTGTGTTTCCACTTTTGCTTTGCCACCTGCAGGCTCCGGCTCCAGCCCCGCGCCACCCTGCGGACCTGTGTCTCCGTCCGTCTCCTTCCAGCCTCTGGCCCGTTCCACTCCCAGGGCGAGCCGCTTGCCCGGACCCGCCACGTCAGTTTCATCCGCTGGCACCTCCTCACCCCCTGGCTTGGCTGCTGGACAGGGTGCTGGTGTCCAGGCAAAGGCCACCGTATGCTCCAGCGACACAGTGCCCACCAGCTCTGTGCCCCCCAGTGCAGCATCCTCCAGGGTGCCCAGCAACGCAATGTCTGGGGACACAGTAGCCCCCACAGCGCCTGCCAGCTCCGCATTCACCAGCACGGTGCCCTCCAAGTTGCCCACCAGCGCAAAGCCCCCCAGCGCAACGTCCTCCAACGTGCTTCCCAGTGTAGCACCATCCAAACTGCCCATCAGCTCAACAGGTGCTGGCACGGTGTCACCCAAAGTGCCTGCCAGCACGGCGCCCACCAAAACACCTGCCAGCACGGCGCCCACCAAAACACCTGCCGGCATGGCGCCCACCGTCAAGAGCAGCACCAGGGCTGCGGTGAGTCTCACCCCACCTCGCAGTGATGTGGGACCCCTGCCCCAGCAGAGCTGGCCCTCCTGGCACCCTTCCCAGTCTGTCTGTGCAGTCTGTGGCCTCACCCAGACCCGAGGAGGAATAACAGTCAGGGGAGCTCCTGAGTGTGGCTGCCTCGGGCGGGGGCTCAGGCATGCTGGGTCACCTGCTGTGTTCATGTGCGTTCATTCTTTTAGGGCTCTCAGCCCCAGGTAAGCTCAGTAAGGCCCTTTCTTTCTTTCCTTTCTCTCTTAAAAGACTTATTTATTGATTTATTTGAAAGTCAGTTACAGAGAGAAAGAGAGAAAGGTCTTCCATCCGCTGGTGCACCCCTCAGATGGCCTCAGTGGCCAGAGCTGCACCAGGCCAAAGCCAGGAGCCAGGAGCTTCTTCTGGGTCTCCCACATGGTTGGCAGGGGCCCAAGCACTTGGGTCATCGTCTGCTGCTTTCCCAGGTGCATTAACGGGGAGCTGGGTTGGAAGTACAGTAGCTGGGACTCAAACCAGCACCCATATGGGATGCTGGCAGTGTAGGCACCAGCTTTACCTGCTACGCCACAGCACCAGCCCCTAGCAAGGCCATTGCACAGATGAGGAACCTGTGAGGGGCAGGGTGTGGGAGGCCCCACCAGGGAGTCCAGCCTATCACTGCATGACCAAGGCCTTATTTGCGGTCATCCTAGCCTATCCAGTCTGGAGCAGCTGCTGTGACACAGCAACCCCCCTTAGCTGCCCCCTGCAAGCCCTCACTGCTGCTGTCCCCTTGGGGGAATCAATCCACGGGACCCTTGGACACATGGCCAGGCCACACACGCTGTGGCTGCTCTGTGGTCTTCAGGCCCAGGCAGAAATGTTAATGGAGGGTGGGCCCACATCCCACCGTGGGTTCCTGGAGCAGGGGTGAGCTCACTGCAGACCCGGGAGGGCTCCCCCACTGCCCTGCACCACCGTGGATTAGATCCCCTCTGGCCCGGGAGTTGAGAGGTTAGGCTGCTGGTTAATGCCCTCACCCAGCAGGGGGCGCCCCACCCAGCTTCTCTTCCTGTCTCCCCGGTTCCTTGAATGCTCTCCTTTCTTTCCCAGGGGACCCCGGTGGCTCCAGCACCCAGAGGTGCCACAGGAGGCAGTGAGCCCTGGCCAGACGGCAGCTCTGGCAGCTTGCACTCTGGGCCGGAGGTGAGCAAGCCAGGTGTGCTGGCCTCCCGGCTGGACAGCCAGCCTTTCTCGGGCTGCTCCGCGGATCTCGCCATCAGCCCCAGCAACTCGCTGCTCCCCGAGCCCGGCCACGGCCCAGAGGAGAACGAGTACGTGTCGGTGGGCACTTTTGGGCTCCACGTGGTAGAATGTCCCAGCGCTGACCTGGAAAGCAAACCTGGGCTGAGCGCCACCCAACAGCCTCCACAGCCCACGGACGAGACTGTGCAATGGGTCTGGGCAGAGCCCTGGGCTTTGTGGTTTGGGGCAGCCGTGGCCAGCGCACTCATGGCCACACTGCTGGCTGTGCTGTACCGGCGGCGCCTGCTTCACTGATGGCCCCAGGACCACCTGCTGCACACCTGCTCAGCCCTCACCGCATGCTGCCTGCCCTTCATCCCTTCCTCAGGGCTGCAGGGCTGGGCCAAGGGGAGCTGCGGGGCTGCAGGCCTGGCAGGAGATGTGGAAACAGCATTTCCGTCCCGGATCGTGCCTTCTCTGGGTCCCTCTTCATCCTTGGCTTCTCTGGATCCTCCTCTGGCCCCCCTGCTCCAGACCCGCTCACCTGCATCCCGGTTGTCACCCCATGTGCTGGGGAGGGGTGCCTCCTGCCAGGCTCATTTGCCCAAATGTGCAGATCAGGAGGTGCAGCTGGACAGCTCCTGGGGTTGGCAGTGCCCCTCGCCCTGTCCTGGTGCCCGAAGACCTGAGGGCAGGGGTGCTGTGTCAAGGGGCCTCATAAGACCTCCTGTCCCCAGTGGCCCAGCCCAGAAGCCGCTGTGAGTCCTGCCCCAGCCACTTCACCCCCTTCTGGTCTCCATTCTCAGCTCCCTTCTGGGGTCAGGGAGGGGCCGCCTGGTGAGCAGAGCTCAGCTCAAGGACTGGGCCTCAGATGCAGCCCTCCCTGGGCTGGGTGGCCTTGGCAGATGGTCCGACTCTGGTCTCACGTGGATAGCGTGAGAACCTGGCTCATGCTTTCCTGGGATTTTCTGAAGCGAAGCAGACAGGGGTTGGCCCAGAGCCGGTGACCACTGAGTGCTTCCCTCGCTCTCCTGCTCAGCTTGGTAGAGCTGAGGGCATGAAAGGCAGAGTGTGCGACAGGCTGGGGTGCAGCTCTGTAGGGCGGGCAGCCAGGCCTGCAGCTGCCCTGCCTCTCATGAGCTCCGTGACCCCGAGTGAGCTATCAGCCTCTCTGTGCCTCCATTCCCATCTGTAAAATGGGGGTTAGCACACACATATGTATTTATAGACTCCTCATGTGTGGTGAGGATGAGTTGCTCTGAGTTGGACACCTGTTATGACCACTGCTAAGTCTGGAGGGACTGCAGCTCCTGGCCGCGCCTTTGGGGACAGAGCCAGGTCTCCCGCTTTGGCCTCCTTCCTCCTCGATTGCCTGTGCACCGGGGGACTGGGGGGCGGGAGGTGTGTCTACCTGGCCAGCCGTGCAGGATGGGGACTGGGGTGTTCTCCCGCAGGGGCCAGGTGGGTATCTGTGGTCCCAGCCTGAAGCCTGCCCACCCACTGGTGGGAAGATTGGCTATGTTTATACTAGAAATGCATTGGGGTGCATGGGTTCTCTGCAGGTGGCCGTCACTGGACAAGGGGCAGGCACAGGAGCTACCTGTGTTCCTGAGCTCTGCAGGGGACAAGAGCCAGTGTCTGCAGAGATATCGGGGTTGGGGGTCACTGTCGCTCACGGCCAGCCTGGCAGCCCGCGGGGTTTGGTGCCCTGCCCAGGCCGCCAGTTTCGCCTGCAGGGTCCTAAAGACTTCTTCCTCTGAGCTGCTGTTCAGCTCATGCTCCAGGCCCAGCAGCCTGAGCTGTGAAACCAGGGAGACCCCTTCTCTAGCGGCCTGCATCCCTGTGCATCACCCCCGCCTGCCCTCGCCCAGCCCTCCCTGCTCCCCTGTTGGGTAGGGCAGTGAGCAGTTCACGCAGACGCCAGTTTTAATCTGAAAAAGTAGGCGGCTGGAAGGTATCACTCAGCCCCAGGACTGTGGCCAGAGGGCAGGGCCGGCAGTCAGGCGCCACGGGAAGTGCCTCCGGCAAGTGCATAGCCAGCGGAGGGACTCCCGGCGCTCTCGCCTTGTGCTTCCAGAAGCCTGGCGTGGCCTGTCTTGAGCCCTGTCCTCGTGTCAGCTATTGTCAGCCTGAAGTCCTCTCCATGGCCACTTGAAGCAGGAGCAGAAACTGGCCCGTGAATTGGCACGGTCAGATCACAGTAGTCTTGCCTTTGGATGCAGCTTTCAGCTGCATGCTGGAGACAGAGCTGGGTCCCCCTCCCAGCCTGGGTGTCAGAGGAAGCCAGAACCTAAGACAGGAAGGGTGGGCGTCCTCGCGCGGGCCGGGGGGGGCGGTGGGAAGTCAGCTGGCTGCCATGCTTGGGAGAGCACACACCTCACCTTGAGGAGGTGGTGCGCTGGGGCTGGCGGTCCCAGTGCCCCCTACGTGCCTGGGGATAGACCCTCCTTGTGTACCCTGGTCTCAGCCCCTCGGTACCTTCTTTCCTGGGCTGGGCTGCTGGGCCGGAGCAGTCACTGCTTCTGTCTCCTTAGGAGGTACCCCCGAGGCAGGGCGGTGTCCTGTTCCTTTGGAAAATGCTGTTGACTGTGGACTGCTCCCCTACACGTGTGCACAGCACCCCACCCCCCACCCTGCGTGCCCGGCTGGGCTTCAGGGGCGCTCCCTGCCGTCTCGTTCGCCCATGAGCTGCCCTATTTTCTCTACAGTTTCTTTATAGAAGTAAGTTGAAGGACAAAGCGTTGAACAAGCCACAGGGGCTGGGAGGATTTTGTGCCCAGGGCCCTCCGTGTTCTGCACCAGTGCCAGGTGACAATGAGGCACCCGTCACTTGGTTTCTTGGCCTCTGTGGCTGACATCCCTCCCCTTGGACTGGCTCCAAGTGCAAGCAGCACTGGACTGGGTCTTAGGGGGAGGGGCCGCAGGAGGCTCCTCCACTGCCCAGCTCCTGGGTGGTGCTCAGCCGTTGCTCCGATCCCAGAGGGGATGATATGACAGCTGTGTCTCCTTGCACCGGAGCCTTCCGAGGCCCTGACAGAGCCCTCGCAGCAGGTGGGAATTCCCGTGCTGGGCAAGATTCAAACCCTGCAGCGTGTTCTGTCTGTGGTCTCTTAGGAATGGAGGCCTTGAGGCCCCGCACTTCATGCACGTCCTGTCATGAAGGTAATGGCCAAGAATAAACACCGCCCCCTCCCCACCAGGGGTGGGAGGTCCAGGCTCCGTGGGCTGTGCGGGAACTGGTACCTGTCGGTGGGCAGCAGGCACGTGCTCCCCTGTGCTCCATTTTCTGTCCTTTCCCTCTTGCACAAGGCCATGAGGTCCACTCGTGCTGGGCAGGGTCAGGCTGAGCCCTCCTCGCTATGCCACTGCTGCTGTCCCTAATAGCAGTAACCAGGAGCGCCACCCCCACCCCGTCTTCTGTGCATCAGGCACTGTGCTCACCCCTTACGTGTGCTAACTCATTTAATCCCCATTTCATGTCTTCGTGGGCCCAATTTACAGCTGGTTTGCAAGGCTGGGTGGGGGAAGGGCCGGGGGGGCGGGCGGGAAGCGAAGGAGAGCCCTGGAGCTGGGTGTTAGTCGTGTGCGCAAATCACATCTGATTAGGTACTGGAGCCAGGGACCCCATTTAAAGTGAGATTTTCCACATCACCACATCCCTGCCCGGGATGCCAAGATCTGCCACCTGCTTTACTAGAATAATTGCACTCAACACATAATTAATAGAGTCTCAGGGATGTTGCAACAATATGATCACAGTTGTGTGTGTGCCCAGGCTCAGTGGCCTGAGGCTGGGTGAGGTGGGACAGGGGCATAAGCCCAGAATGACAGGGAAGCCAGATTGGTTCAGCAGCCATTGCTCGTTAAAGGCATCCCATGTGCCAGGTCCAAGGCCAAAGATGAGGATGACATGGTGGGGGCCTTCAGGTGGCTGGGGACATGGGCAATGTGTGATGCTGACCACTAGACTTTCATGTCAGTTATTCTGTACGCACTGTGTGCAAAGCGTCGGGATAGGCCTTGGTGACTGAGTAATATAAAGGGGGCTTTGAAAGTTCATGGAAAATGGAGTTAAAAGGTATGTTTATTTTGGTGCAGAAAAATTTGAAATCCATGCATATGGAGGATCTGCTAACAGTTCATGGAAAATGCCTGTTATGGGAAAAAATTCATAGATTCCAAAATTTTCTGCACCAAAGTAAACTTATACTTTTTAATTCTTTTTTCCTGTGAACTTTCTGAAATCCCCTAAATCAAAGTCCCGCTGCCTCTGATATAATTAGAGTGGTCTGGTGAGTGTTCCCGGAGCACGGAGTGGGGGAGGGAGAGTTTGGGAGGGGGCAGATGATGTTTCAATCAGTTAAGTGCTATTAATTGCTACGATATTAATTATTGTAATTAAATCCAGGGGAGAAATACCACTTAGAACCTGTCGTGGGTAAGTCCGACAAGATCAAACGTTAACAGAAATATACGGCAAATGAGACTCGGAGGTTTCCGGAGGAGTGTAAGTTGGTGCTGTGGTCTGACAGTGTCCCCTGACAGCAGCCAGCCAAGGTGATGGCCTTGGAGGCGGGGCTGTGGGGAGGCGGGCAGGCCATGAGTGAGACCCTCGTGAAGGTGATCGGTGGCCTGACAGGAGGCGCCACGGAGTGCCCCCTGCCCTTGCACTGTGCGAGGGTGCGGTGGGAAGGGGCGTGTCTGCACAGAGCTAGCCCTCACTGCACACCAGGTCTGCTGGCACCTTGATCTTGGATTTCCCAGCCTCAGAACTGTGAGAAATAAATGTCTGTCGTGTGTGCCTTGCCCAGTCTAGGGTATTTTGTTCGTGCGGCCCTAGCGAACCAGGACGGTCGGTGTATCCCCGTTGGGAAACCAGCAGTGCCTCCTGAGCTGAGCATCCGGATAAGCTGTGAGCCGGCAGGGTGGGTGTGCACACAACGGAAGCAAGAGCCTGTGTCCAGCAAGACTCCTGCAGGCCTGCTTCTGACCCCCCTACTGCTTACCACAGCCGTGGACGGGAAACAACCCAAACCTTCATCCACAATAGAGGGGGTATTTGAGGGCTGGGCCAGTCACATGGCACAATGCTAGTATATAGCAATGAATATGAGTGGAAATCTTACACGTGGTGTTGAACAACATAAAAAAATCAATATACACAAAAGATTCTGGGGGCGGGCATTTGGCCCAGCACTTACCCCTTGGGACTCCTGTGTCCTATATTGGAGTGCCTGGTTTGAGTCTTGGCTGTGCTGCTTCCAATCTAGCTTCCTGCTTAACTGCCTGGGAAGTGAATAGATGATGGCCCAAGTACTTGGGCTCCTGCCACCCATGTGGGAGACCAGGATGGAGTTCTGGCTCCTGGTTTTGGCCTGGCCCAGCCTTGGCTGTTGTGGCCATTCAGGGAGTGGACCAGCAGATGGAAGATCTCTGTATCCTTCCTTCTCTCTGTCACTTTACTTTCCAAATAAATCTTTAAAAACAAAATAAAATAAAATGGAGAGTCAGCATTGTGGCATAGCCGGTAAAGCTGCTGCCTGTGATGTGGGCATCCCATATGGGCACCAGTTGATTTCCTGGCTGCTCCACTTCCGATCCATCTCCTTGGTGGATGGCCTGGGAAAGCAGTGGAGGATGGCACCCTTGCACCCACGTGGGACATCTGGAAGAAGCTCTTGGCTCCTGGCTTAGGCCTGGCCCAGCGCTGGTCATTGCAACCATCTGGGGAGTGAATCAGCAGATGGAAGACCTCTCTGTGTCTCCCTCTCTCTCTGTAATTCTGCCTTTCAAATAAATACATAAATTAAAAAAAAAGTGACAAATCTTTAGAAGTGTGATTCTCTTCATATAAAACTACAGAAAAAAAGCAAACTGGTTTTGCTGTTAGAAATCAGGAGAAAGGTCAACTTGGGGAGCACTGGAGCTGGGCAGGGGCCTTCTGGGGGTGCTGGTACCCCTGGCTGCGGTGCTGACTGTGTGTGCACAGTGTCTGCCCAGACTCCCTGTTGGAGATGTGGAAATAAATGAAGACTACTCAAGTGAGAACAGAGAGCCCATTCCGTCCGAGCCTCAAGCACTCAAAGGCAGGCACTGGGAAACTTTATGGAGAAGAAAAAGGGAGGCTTCAGGTGTGCTGGGATTGGGGGGGTCATCATGGAGACGCCAGAGGCGGGCCAAGTGGAAGAGGGGCAGCTGACTTTGGCTGGGGAGCTTGTTCGGCTTGTCTGGTGGTCCGGATTTGGGAGCTGGGGAATGGTCGCAAGTTGGTCTACCTGATTGGGGCTGAGGACTGCATGGTTTGGTTTGGATTCCCAGCCTGGGTCCTGCCAAGGCTTTGGGTCAGAGTTCTGTTGTCATGTCTGGTCCGGCCGTTATCCAATTGCTTTTTCAGTCTTGGAGGGGAGGGTGTGGGCTCTGGGAGGGGCCGCCACCCCTGGAATGGAGGGGGCACATCCACACTTCGTGCAGGTCCCCACCCCTCCTTGGGGTCCGTGGTGTTTACTGTCAGGGTGAGTCTGCTCCAAGTCATTGCTTTGTGACCACGCCCATTGCCACAATTTGAATGTGGCCTGTCTCTGCCAGCACTCATTGGAAGAAGCCAGGAGCTTCTTCCAGGTCTCCCACCTAGGTGCAGGGGCCCAAGCACTTGGGCCATTTTCTGCTGCTTTCCCAGATGCATTAGTAGGGAGCTGGATCAGAAAACAATAGCCAGGACTCAAACTAATGCCCAGCTTAACCCGCTGAGCCACAACACTGGCCCCAACCTCATTACCTCATAAACAGCCCCCTCCCGGGGCCAGCACTGTGCGTAGGGGGTAAAGTGGCCGCTTGCAGTACCAGCTGATAGCTTTGGGATCCGCATGGAAGGAAGGCCTACACTTCCGGGAATGGAGAGGCCTACTTCCGGGGAAGAAAGTCCTTGTCAAGGTCCTGGGGGTACCTAAAGGTCAACCAATGAGGATCAGACCCGCCTCAACCTTTAACCCCCATATCCTGAATCTATAAAAGGAGCTCTCCCAATCTCTGACACACGACTTCTCGGCCCCCGCTCTGTTACTCTGTTGGGACCGGGGAACCTCGCCCGGGAGCGGAACCCCAATAAAAGCCTGTGAATTAATTGATTTGTCTGCCTGGGAAGATTTGTTGCGCGCCGGACACCTTACACCGGCATCTCATGGGGTGCCAGTTTGAGTCCCAGCTACCCCACTTCCGTTTGGCCATTTGGGGAGTGAACAAGCTGATGCAAGATTTCTCTTTTTCTCAGTAACTTTGGCTTTCAAAAACAAATAAATCAGGAGGTGATGAGGTCATTAAGTGGAATTATTTATTATTTACTTATTTGCTGCAGAATTCCAGTGAGCTCCGGCTCTCAGAGTTAGTTACAGTGAGAGCAGCTGTGACAAAGCAACACTGCCTTGTTGATGTGCACCTGCCTGCCCTCTGCCTGCCACTCGGGGCTGCTCAGCACAAGGCCCTCACCACATGTGGCTGCCTGGTTTCAGACATCCTGATCCCCAGCACCATGAGCCCAAATACACCCCTTTTCTTTGTAAATTACCCAGCAGGGGTGGGCACCCTTTCTTCTACCAAGGGCCATTTGGGCATTTATAACCTCATTCTCAGGCCATACAAAATTATCAACTTAAAAATTAGATTGCTATAGATTTATTAAATTTTTAAAAGATTTATTTATTTGAAAGAGTTACAGAGAGTGGTAGAGACAGAGAGAGCAGTCTTCCATCCACTGGTTCACTCCCCAGATGGGTGCAATGGCTGGAGCTGAGCAGGTCTCCCATGTGGGTGCAGGGACCCAAGGATGTGGGCCATCTTCCACTGCTTTCCCACTTCCAACTCTTTCCCAGGCCACAGCAGAGAGCTGGATCGGAGGAGGAACAGCCGGGAATAGAACCAGCGCCCATATGGGATGCCGGCACCTCAGGCCAGGTTTTAACCCACTGCGCCACAGTGCTGGCCCCCGATTTATTGAATTTTTTAAAGATGCATTTGTTTACTTGAGAGACAATTACAGAGACGCAGAGAGAGAGAGAGAGAGAGAGAGAGAGAGAGAGAGAGAGAGAGAGAGATCTTCCATCCTCTAGTTCATTCCCCAGATGGCTGCAACAGCCCAGAGCTGCGCCAATCTGAAGCCAGGAGCCAGGAACTTCTGGGTCTCCCATGTGGGTGCAGGGGCCCAAGCACTTGTGCCATCTTCTACTGCTTTCCCAAGCCATCAGCAGGAAGCTAGATTCGTAAGTGGAGCAGCCGGGACTTGAACCAGCACCCACATGGGATGCGAGTGCAGTAGGTGGAGGCTTAACCTACTATGCCACAGCTCTGGCCCCTAGATTTATTGACTTCTGAATCTCACCTGTGGCTGCCTTGGCAGGGCCAGACCAAATGATTTCAATGGGCTGACACGCACGTCCCAACCCGTGTTCCAGCAACCAAGGCTCAGAGACCCACCGCAGGTGCGTCCTTCCCTCTGCGACTTGGCGTGAAGCTCAGCTCCTAACAAGAAGCCTTGATTAGGCCCCTCTTCTGTGAGGTTTCTTAGATTCCCTTGGATTACCCCAAACCCTGCTTTTTACGTATAAATTCTGACTGCCTCGCCTACATTTAAAGATTAATATTTTAGGCCGGCGCCGCGGCTCACTAGGCTAATCCTCCGCCTAGCGGCGCCAGCACACCGGGTTCTAGTCCCGGTCGGGGCGCCGGATTCTGTCCCGGTTGCCCCTCTTCCAGGCCAGCCCTCTGCTGTGGCCCGGGAGTGCAGTGGAGGATGGCCCAGGTGCTTGGGCCCTGCACCCCATGGGAGACCAGGAAAAGCACCTGGCTCCTGGCTCCTGCCATCGGATCAGCGCGGTGCGCCGGCCGCAGCGCGCTGGCCGCGGCAGCCATTGGAGGGTGAACCAACGGCAAAAGGAAGACCTTTCTCTCTGTCTCTCTCTCTCTCTCACTGTCCACTCTGCCTGTCAAAAAAAAAAAAAAAAAAAAGATTAATATTTTAATATCCTCCTCCTACTTCCTCAGTGCTGTTTTAAAAAGAAACCCCAAACCCCAACTTTTAACTGAAGCATAGAATACTCTAAAGGGTGCTCAGAGACAGAGGGGAGGGGGCAGAGGGTGGCAGTGGGGAGAGAAAAGAAGGGTGGGGGTACGACACGTGGAGAAGGGGGAAGCCCTGGGTTCCAGTCCTGGGGGGGCGGCAGCCAGCTCCCCGCACCCGGCACCCTCCAGGGCCTGTAAACCGTGAGGCTGGACCAGGGGTGCCAGGTGCTCCCTCTGGGCTCAGCTCATCAGCCCTTGGCGTCCTTGGCGTGAGCTGGGCCGCACCAGCTTCCTCCACCTCCACCCGCCCCTCCCCCACCGCAGGCGCCGTCGCCACCCTGCCAGTCGATGGTTTTTCTGGCAATCAGTAGCTCCCTTCTGTTTAATCAGCTCACTTGTACTTAGCATAAGAAGAAGGGAAGAAAGCAGCGTCTCCTCATTGCCGACAGCTGGGAATCAGCAGCTTGAGGAGGCGCCGCTGAAGGCATTGGGGGAAAGAGAAACTGGTGATGGCTGAAAGGATTATTGTAATTTTTTCCTACTTGCTGTCGCGACGTCTTTGGAGTTGTAAGCCCATGGATGTTCGTGTGGGGGTAATTCTGCAGTTACTTCTAGAAACTGGAACCCCCCTTTTAAAATTTTTTTCACTTTATTCTAAAAGTAAAGACAGAGACAGATAGGGAGAGCTTCCACCTGCTGCTTCACGCCCCAGATGCCCGCTGCAGGTCAGGCAGGGCTGGGCCAGGCTCAAGTCGG